GCTGTGGCTTTGCGATTTGAACTGCCCCCCCCCCCCCCCAGGGGAGACAGGTTCCAGATCTGTCCCCCTCACACCTGGTTCGTGGGTCTATGCAACTCTTAATGACGTGACCGCCCTTAATAGCCCGTGAATCCAGGGCACATTCGCTAGCACCTAGAGGACCGTTTTCCCCAGGTACCCTATGGGTGACGTCGCTTTACCTGTAAAATCGGGACAGAACTTCAAGGTCATATCTCATTCATCGACCTCAATTATCCTTCTTGGGGCTCTTCTGAGTTCATCATTAAGCACAATTTGCCCACAAAAGTGCACATTTGTCATCGAACGAGACAAATATTGTAGAATTTTTGCAATATTTAACGAGTGCCTTAGGGTTTTCAAGAACTCTACGTGTACAATTACAATCGCCACGTCCGTTTTGCTTGGTATAACCCAGAGAACTGGGCACCCGGTTGATCGTGTTTATCTGCAGATTGTTTGGAAAGATAGCACTCGCGATTTCCACCTAGGCATTGAGACTTATGAGCTGCAGAAGTGCCCGGATAGTTACACCAGTCAGGTGATCGATGGTTGAAACTTCTCTGGCGTTGGGGTGAATACAACGCTACCGATTGTGGCGCTGCGACAGAGGCTTAACACTTAAGTGCTTCACCAAGTCTAATAAATTTTTGCGGGGATTAGATGTAACCATCGTTTTATACTCCATGGTGCCGATTTAGACGCTTTGAAAACGTCGTATTATCACCCAGACAAGTGTCCCCACGCTTGATCCTTACTAGAAAACCGTCTTTATGAAATACATGTTGTTTTTTGTGTGAAAGCGACCTCTCGAAACCAAGTCGAAAATGAGCGAGCCTGTGCGTCAACACTGCCAGGCATTTACCCAAAAGACAATCCCCCAGATAGCTTGCGGTGAAATGTGGAGGGGACTTAATTTTAGCCCCCTTGATTGTGTGTTTTGCCGAGATCGAAAAAAAGTGCTTGGTTGATTGACTGTGTGTGTGCATTTGCCTAACACTCGTTTGCGATTGCGTTACGACCCTCTAGTCGATCGTTAGTGTATGTAATTACTCGGAGAGAGAAGAATTAGTAGCCTGTTCGCATTATACATGATTATTTGTTGATCTCTTCCAACTACGCAAGTGATTCGTTTGTCTGGCTCCTCGTTCCCAAACTGCCTGACGCACCGCCTTACTTGGCTTATAGGGTCGAGTGTCGGCTTCATTACCTCGAGCAGCCGACTGCCTGGAGCAGCGTCTCGCACCACCACGGTTTCCGGTCTGTCCCGGGCTCGTGGTGGCGTCGCGGCAAGGTGCGCCCCCAGCGACTCCGAGTTCGAACCCCTGATGCTCGGGGAGGGTGGGGATGAGATCGACACCTCGCCACCCCAGCGTTCCCACCGCTCCGACCGACTGATGCCCGACACGCCCTGGGACGATGAGGGCGCAAGTGACGACGGCAACTACGTCTTCGTGCGTCCGGACTTCATCAGCGTGCCTCAGGACTCGCCAAAACTCTAGCATTTCGTCTTTCACCTTTTGTAGGCCGGTTGATTGCGCGTGTGTTTGACGCTCCGCCTCTCGTCTTCCTCCCCACCGCATGATGTATTTATCAGTAAAAGAATAAACTTGACTTTGGTTTATCAGTCCATTTGGTACTTTGTTTTCCTCCGCATTCGCTGTGCTCTTAACTGTCGCTGTGCCCGTGCTCGGGTAGAAAGTCGTGTGTATTTTTATGGCCACTTTCGCTACCCCGTTCGCTTGCAATGCTCGTTTAATCTGCCTTGGCTGGGCAAGTTAGTTTGTTTCGCCCAATCAGCCCCAGTTGTCTGTGTTACTTACAATCTCCAGTTATAGTCACACAATATGAAATTGAGTCATGAAAGCTTGATGTTCCGTCAGGCAGCCTGGTTAGCCTTAATTTGTCCAAATGCAGTTGTTCATAATTTACTCTGCACTGTAATTACGGACAGAAGTAGTCTTCGTGTTTCATCCACGTCAACTCGGACGTCCAGGGCCCTTAGCTCGATGCTTTGCAGTGAATCCATCCGTCAAGATCCCGTAATTTACTAGTTTAGTACAAGCCCCGTCAATTTAATGGTCGTCTTTGGTTGACAAATGCTGGAGGAGGGTACCGTTTCATCGGGATGGTACGCGTGCGAGTACAAACCACCAGACTTCCCTGTTAGTGATGGTGTTATACCCTGAGCCTACATCTGTTCCCACACATTGGCGTTGCGGCAAATCCGTTATCCCCTCGACAAAAACTACTTGGTCACATGACTGAACTCACCTGCGGCCAAATTAGTATCTGCCGCGAATCGAGGCTTCATTATAACCGCGACCACGTCTTGCCATAGTGGCTATCGGGTCGTCTTTTCACTGTCGAATTCAACACGCAACCTGGCCTAATCAGACCCCCGACTAAGTCAGTTTTGAGTTGAATTCCATCTATCGCGCTTATACTTTCTGCTTCGCCATAGGCCTGCAGTGAAGTGGGCCAAACTTTCCCACATCCCTGTCTTTCCTTCCTTATAATTTGGAGGTTTACTTGGATCAGATTAGAACCGGAATTTGGTAACTAGTCACCAGAAGTTTAGTCTCTGCACCGTTGTGGAAAAATATCACGTTTATAGTCAGTGGCCACAGGATCTGTCTGCCATAACCGAACGCGTCATCGTTGAAATTGGGGTGTAACTCTATTGATGACTCCCATTTGGCGCCAAATTCTTCGCCGTGCTTTGTAATTTGTTGCTCGAAATCAAGTGGTTGTTAGGTGCGCTGCAGTTGTGTTGACGCCTCATTTTAATAACCATTCGTCGTCCGGTTTAGCTTGTCATTTGTCAGTAGCATCTGACGGTTTGCTCTTCCCTCTAGGTTACCGATAATGCCGAGGGAAAGGAAGCACGCTCCGGTGAAGTCCACAAAAGGTATGTCTTTGGCCATCACTCCCTCCGTCCCCTTAATCAGAACAGTCTTGGGGCGGTGTGTGAGTTTGTGCTCAGGCACCAATTGTATGCTCCAGGTAAATGTCATCTCGACGTACCAACATTTGAATAGATCAACACGTATTCTGAAAATTGCGCTGGGCCTCATAGGGGGGGGGGTTGGCTTACTGGACTGTGGAGCACGTGAGGCCCCGAATTCCGATTGGTGGAGCCGCGATTCCGGCCTCATTGGCTTGTCTTTGTTCTTCAAACGTTTCACCTTCCCTTGTTGCTTCTCGCACCAGATCCTCTGTGGATCCAGGGTGCACCGAGTTTTCGGTTCGTGCGTTTGCCACAGTTGTTCGTAAGCATTATTACCAAAAACAGACGGAACGCCTGTTGTCCCCCTTGCTATCTAGGCGGATTCGAGTCCATTTCATTCTCTTGTAAATTTCACAGACAAAACGCATGCCCCAATTCGTTCTACTAGTAGGGTTACCTTAAGTTGATATCACATTATTTGCTTCAGCAATGTTATGAGCCTTGGTTCCCTGCTGGCATTGTTCTATTTCACTTTAAGCGGAACTTGTGAAGTTCGCTTTACATAATTTTCGTGAGGTTTAATCGCATGTGTGGATCGGAAATGCCTTTATAGGTCTAGCTTGTGCTGTGTTGGTTGCGCTGCGATTTGACAATCTGCCCCAAAGAAAATAAATTAGTAATCCAGTAGGCATTTGTGGAATGTGGTGAAAGAGATTGAATGCTGTTGTCGTTGAAACGGTCTGCGTTGGTTCGGATGGGCACTCCAAAATCGCCACAGCACTATCCGCTGGGATTCTCTTTGCTGTCACCATGGATGGGATGGAAGAAATGCCTTCACAATCCCTGGCATCCTTCTCTCTGTTGTAGGTGGTTCGCTTCGACAGACCTCGCTCATGGGTTTCGTCCGTCAGGTGTGTTCAGTTTGCTATTTCCTTACCATTTCGTCTAGTCATCTACAACAGAATCCGGCGCCTCTGGAAATCGTACACCCCCACAATCAGGTAACTGACAATTTTTGCCTGTCCTGTTTATCTCTTAACTCAGCAACAGTGTATCTGCTTTCGAAAAACGTAAAAATTAAGCAAGCTTCGTCATGTGATGTAGATATTTCCTACAGGCGTTAACTGGGCAGAAGACATCAAGCCGAACTCCCCTTGTTTTTAAGCGCATCCTAATCTTCAAATTGACGAAACCGAGTAACCGACTCCCAAGATTTTGTATTGGAAGTCGATACCCGGTGATTGGATAACTTCAAAAACGTTATCGATCGTCCAATGATGGCTTCGCAGCCTGTGTAAACAGTGCCTGATTGAACACACTGGGATCGTCATTTAAGTTACAAGTCCAGTTTGCACTGCCGCGTTGAAGTGGAAGTGTGTTCCAAAAACGGTCAGCATCAGTTAAAAATTCGCATGATCTTCATCTACTTTATTGGATCAATGGTGAGTCATGGGTTACGAGTTTCGCTTGTGCGATGATCATTTTGAGTTTTGAAGGCGTTCGTCACTGTTATAGAAACAAGAACTGTAGATGTGCTTCCTAGGAATTATAAGTATCAAGTAAAAACGTGGTCGAAGTAACGATTAGATTCGATAGCGTAGATTTCACTTATCGGCTAAGAAGACCGGAGATGTCCGTGTGTGTGTGTGTGTGTGTGTGTGTCATGCATTCGAAGACATCGTCAAGACGGATATGACTGACGGTGGCTGTCAACCAATAGAATCTGGATGAGTCATCGAATGCGCGAGCATTGGAATGCGACTGTGTGGGGTGCGGTGGGGTGGGGTTGTCTGACTACGAGCTGCAGATTTGGTTAACACGAGTTGCGACGATTCACGCGGCGCAGGCCCATCCAGTGGTCAGTAAGTCGACACGGCCGGAAACCTACACAAAGCGCTCATTTTAAATAGCGGCAGTAGATCGAGTCTAAGTTCAAGGACGATGCGCAACTGCTTCGGGGTAGAAAAAATAAATTCCCCTGTTTTGATCGACGTAGTTCGTCAAAAGTGTCTACTCCGGGCGTTTTTACTCGCACCGTACTATCTGATCTTTACTGCGCAGTTTACCGTACACATAAACACACACACACACACACAAGCTAGGCGGAGTGCGGTAGAGGTTGCAGATTCTGTTGATAGATAACGCCTTTTGTGGGTGTCCGAGTAAGCGATACCCGCTGTTTCAGGCCAGATCATCAGCTCGGGTACCTTCAAGGCGTGTAACAGGGGAATTCGCTACCATCACTATCTGGAATTGCTCAACGTATTCCAGTGCTAAATGTATCTTTGATGCCAATTGTATAGCACTTTTATCATCCGTGCACACATTGCACGTGACGGGACTCTAGCACAGCAGCAATTTAGCCCACCCTTCGAATCGATTTTGCTTCTAAACCGATGATTTAATAATAATTGTAATAAGCACTAGAGTCCTGGAAAGCTCCTTCGTTAAAAGATGCATGAACGTTCCGTGATCAACTGTAGGTCAGGTGAAGTGCAGAAACGACTAGCTGTTCGCGAATGCTCAAACGTCAGACTTCAACTATGCTGCGCCGTGTCTGCCTTAATTGATATGACCACAAAGGAAGAAGCTTGTAGAGGCATACAAGACTGTGATTTTTTTAAAAATAATAGTTAAGTTGATTTAGAATTTAATTTTGAATATAAGGAAATTTTGAAAACGCATCAAAGGGTGCATGCTTTTGGATGTGAGGGGTGTAACTCCTGCACATGCCCCTGCCTTGTAGAACTAATTAGGAATGAAAAAAGTAAATCTTTAACATCAGGAAGCAATAAAAGTAGCTTCTAGTGAATGACACTAATCACACGAGTCGAGGTTTCTTCGTTTCGCATGTAACCGTGTCCTCAGGAGTGCGTACAATCATACGGTTATTGAAGCGTACCATGATACGTCAATCAAAGCCAAAAACGTTTAAATTTAAACAAGTTAGTCTCAAGTTAGAAATCAACCCCTAATGGCTTTTTGAAGTACCACTCAGTAATCGATAAATATTGATTCACAGCCTAGTCGTATTGTCTAACACCGTGAGGTATTTACAATCCGATTGATAGCAGTAACCAATGAAAATAGGGGATAAGTAATTGATATAAATAATTATGTGAGCATGCTTCACTCACGCGCGATCGCTGACAGTCCACTACAGGTCTACCCCGGTTCCAAGGAAATTCGAAGTGGTTGATTGAAAGCTTTCGGGAAGTTACCTTGACCTGACCTCTTAGAGGTTAAGAAGCCCCAGCATCCAGAGAAAATACTAATCATCGACACGCAGGAGAGATCTGCAGTTTAGGATCATGAGCGTCTTAAGGAAATTAAATCATCATAGAAAAGCCAGTTTAATGTATTTGGCCTTAAAAAAACTAATTTAAATGGAAGTGAGGGGTGTAGAAACGACTTCAGTTCAAAAAAAGGAAGTCTGCCGTTGGCTCCGCTCTAGCCGTATTTTCTACAACCCCTTGTAGACCCTTCTACGCCCACCAATAACGACACTTCGATCATTTTGGGTACCCCTGAGGCTTCGGCTTGTTTTTCAACAAGCATTTCTCGACCATCAGAGCCTCTTTCATTCGTCTCTTCAACCGGTGCCATTGTCACGCCTCCTTTGGTGGCACCCAAAGACTTGCGATCCCCTCCACGTCGGCACCAAAAACCGCGTCGGTCCAGCTTCGTCACCCAACGGCACGCTTTTGTGGCCGCCAAACGCGAAGCCGAGGGTAATACTGGGTCGATTTCGCGTCAGGGCAACTACGACGGCCTTAACTACGCCCCGATGTACCAAAATCCTGTCAGCCAATCCGGTGTCTCCAACACCTTTGCAAGTCAGAGGGCCAGAAGGATGGCTCAACTTGCCGCCCAGGGTGCAAGTAGACGGGTTGAAAGCACCGACAGGCCATCTAAGCGCTTAGCCGAAGAGGTCTCGCAACCAGATCGGAGCTTCGTGTTTGATGAGAATGCGGACTTTTCGGTCCAGCCGTTAAAGTCTCGGAAAACCTCTCTCTCGCCGGCTGCATTGACTAATCAGGAGAACGATGTTCTAGGCGAGGTTTTGAATGCGATCGTCGACAGCCCAGTGGCTAAATCGCAGTCAAGAAAACTTGCGACCATTAAAGCAAAAAGAGGCGATCGCAACTCGGGATCGAAAAACCCACTCCAGCCTAGGGTGCTACTCGAGGCGAATGGAAGCGTTCCCGATCCCCCCAGCGGTAATGGCGAACCGTCTGG